CTTAGAGCCAATAGAACTCCCGGAGAAAATGGTCTTCGGGCAGAACTCTTCAAATATTGTCCATCATTATTCATAACTCATTTTCAAAAAATGTATTCTGTGGTATGGCAAAAAGAAATAATATTAGAAGACAGGAGCAAAGCAATTCTGTTTCCAATCTTAAAGACATGCTGCGACAATTACCGAGGAATCAACCTATTAGACACCTCCGGAAAATTTTTCGCTTCCCTTTTGCTAAATACGACTCGGCAACACGAGATGGCAGAATGCATCCTAAATAAGCTGGATTCAGACCAGGACACGTTGACCAGATATTTACGCTAAAGGTGTTGGAATATCACTTGAAATATTTGCAACCCACCGTCAAGTGTTTCATCTATTGCGGCCACCTTCGATTTAAATGATAGAATGGCGCTTTAAAGAATGATGGAACGCGACGGTATTCCAGAGATTATGCGGTTCATAAAGGCATTTTATTAGTATATCTTGGCGCAGGTCTACGTATATGGGGAACTGGCAGAATCCTTCGAAATAAGAACTGGTTCCGTCAAAGTTGTGTCCTTTCCCCTATAATATTCAATTATATGATAGACTGAACAATGGACATCGCTTGTCGACACTCAAGAGGTGTACAAATCAGTCCAGAGCATAGCATCACAGTCCTTGAATACGCTGATAATGTAGTCCTCTTTGCTGAAATTATGAGGAAATGAAAGTAATGTTAAACTATGTGCCAACAACTGCAGCGAGAATTGGACTCAAAATCAAACGAAAGTGTTTTCGTCTTATATATAAGATGCTGATACAATACATATTTTTATCAATTCATTGCCGATTGAGGAAGTGCTGAACTTTAAATACCTTGGATCCACTCTAATTCCAAATGGCCAGGGGAATCCGAACCCGAATAACGGCAGTATGTTTTTCCGGCTGATGAAACCTTTATGGAACCGTCGCGAAATTACCACAAAGTCCATATAGCTGCAATTCTTTCGATCTTGCTATGGCTGCTAAACGTGGGAGTAGAAGATATTAAGAAGCTATCAAGCTTTGACCACTCATGACCAAGATACTTTTACGGATCCGTCGAGCAGATAAAATCGCACATGATTGTATTAATCTTCGTTCAACTACCACCTGTATTAATAATGTTATCTCAACGTTACCTTCGCTGGTTAGAGCATGTTCTCCGTCGTCCACCACAGGAGTTGACGCATATTTCGTTATGTGCTAAACCCTGTGTTGGCTGACGCCAGAAGTGAGGAGGATCGGTCGAGATCTGGACTGATACAATCAGGAAAAATCGTGAACGTATAGGTGGACCAGCGATATATGGACTTAGAAGGTGCAAAAAGAATGGCTTCTATTATTACTAGCAATGGCGTCGGACAGAGCAGCTTGAAGACTTGTAGCCAGCGGTGCCAGCCTAACCAGTAATAATGAGAGCTGTTAAAAGAAGAAGAAAGATACGATCAGCTCTAATAATTCTATTGATGGATGACCGGTTTGTGTGAAGTTTTGCAACACCTCGGTCATCAGTCATCAATTATTACTCTTCAGTCATTACTTTTCTGCTGTAGTTGATTTGTATGGTTTTTGTACCAAGCTGAACTTGCTAACAGCATATCTCTCTCAAAAAACAGCGTAATTTTTAGCGCGGAAGATTGGAATGCGCGCGTAGGATGCATGGATACTCCACTGTTTTCGGCAGAATCATATATATATATGATTCTTTCTGACATCACTATATGCTTTGTACAAGACATCTAGTTATATAAAACTCACCTGTCAGTCGGTACTTGAGTCATATTGGCATATTTTGTTCAATCTTTCATATCGCGAAGTTGAAATTGACACTTCACGTTATGGTTAGAGCGAAGGTAAAACGTGGGAAATATGATTCCTTCCTTGCTTCAAAATCTTTTGATTCTCTCCAGTTAAATGGTTTAGGAGCAGTCATTTCAAGCTGAAATATTAAAATATTGAGATCGAAGGCTTTGAGAACCTTAATATCTAAGTAATTGCCTAGAAATACTGGCTCTAGGAATCAGCCAAGTCCGTACAATAACCAGCTAAATCCAGTTCAGTAATTTCCAAGGAAGAAAATAAGTTGAGTCACAAACAAAGCGGTCCGGCTATCCGATCGTGCCGCTGAAGTGCGTGTGTGAGGAAATGCTACCGGCTTCGCTGCTGATGCTGATAATCGCTATATAAAAATGAATATTGCGAAGAAACAGCTTTGAATATGGAAATAGGGCGTTCAAAAATTATTTGGCCTACTTCTGAAGGCATTCTCGATGAAAAATAATGAAATAATCCGAGATAAGAATGGAAATCCCATTATGATCTCGTATAGTGGAGAGAGTTCGTTGAATCTGAACTCAATCACAACCGGCCAGCTAGCGTCACGGATGTGACTAGAGCAGTGCGATTCCAATTGCGAATTACCGGCATTAGTTAATTTCTGTAATTCACAAGCTTAAATTGAACAAAACCTCTGGAAAAGGTGGTCTGTAAGCTGAAATCTTCTAATGCTACCCTAACGTGCTTCACAATCCATATGCAGATTCATTTGTATGCGAGAAGATGCAAATATCAATTGTAAGCTAGCAGTTTCCCCATTTCCCTTACCACTATCACTGCTACTAAGTAATCACTTAGGTGTTTCTAGAAAGGTTTTTGCCAAGTAAATTTATGATAGTACACGTCCTAACCAAGCTCGGTTTAGGCCAGCACATAGCTATGTTGACCAGATTTTCTCTGAAAAGGCTATTGAAACATTGTTACAAATATCAAAAACCTACCGTTATATGCTTCGTGCTTTTAATGCTACCTTATTCGATCAACAAGGCAGTGCTCTTGTAAATCATGCAATACAGTGTCTTTCAAAGAAGATAATCACTTATAAAGCATTTCATCGGCGTCAGTGCATGCGGAAAGTTGACTCAAAAAGTACATAAATCAGTCCAGAGCTGAGTATCACCGATCTTGAATACGCTGAGATATCCTTTTGCAACATACACCAGACGAGGGTCGACAGTAGGAGAAAATTGGCTTATAATTAAGTAAACAAGGTAAATTCTTCATCTCATATGCATTTTATTTGCCAGGCGTTGATAAGATCGCATTTTAAACAAATTTATCAATAAACTGTCAAATTGTAAATATTTTGAATCCACTTGCGATATATGAAATTCCAGGGTAATTGGAACCAAAAATGCCTTCTTTTATCTGGCGAACTCCCTAGACCTGTAAAAGTTAGAAATGAATAAAAGTTCCCATCTGTCTGGCTATTGGCCAATGAAAGTGGAAAACACCAGGAAGCCGTCTGGCTTTGACATCTCTTGCTTACACATTTTACATACTTTGGACAAAGGACAAAGTCTCGTATGATTTCATCCAGCTTAACTGCGTTAAGAATATCGTCTTAGGGCATTGCTTGCGTTGAATTGGCCATGTTTTTTACACATATCTTCGTGCTTGCTAAACCTTATGATAGGTGGTGTCAGAAATAGGGAAGACCATTCAAAATCGGGAACGATACAGGCAAGGAGATTTAGGCACATAGGTGGTTCACCGATCTGTGAGCTTAAATGGTGGAAAAGGAGTGGATTCAGGATTTCTTTCAGGAATTAACATTGGATGACGCAGGCTTGAGTCTTACGAAGCCGAATGAGGCAAATTAGCAATGATACCGGCTGCTAGAATAAGAGGGTCTGTTGTTTCTATCTAACTAGTAACAGTTAGTTTAATGGTGTTATAAGGAGTGAAGGGTTTATTAAATAGGTTTTCATAAAATTTTAATTTAAAATTTTAAATTAATTTTTTTCTTTTCCTATTTAAAGAAAGGACATTCATTCTGTCAGAATCAAAAATTTGCAATTTATATTTGTTTATTTTTCTTTAAATGCGATTTACTTTATGATGAAAATAGTATAATATAAATGATAAGATTCAGTGGAATATAGTAAATAAATGAGAAATGTACTGAGTTATATTGAAGAGAAAATATTGGAATTTGGAAGGGGGTCGATTGAAGACGAAAATGATGAGAAAGCGTTTTGCAAGTTCATTTCATTTGTAATCTGATTCATATAATTTCTTTTTAATGCAAACATCCAACTTGTTTTCCATATTTGTTTATTTAAAGTTGCTTTTTTTCGATCATAATCGCTTATATAAATCCTTATTTTGCGAATGTTTTTCATTTGGATGAATTTCGTTGTAGATCTGATGTAAGAAGAATGGTGGTGGCGAGCCACCTGTTTTTTCTACAAATATGTGTTCTCTGGTTTCATCTTAATCAGCGGGGCAAACCAAGTTATAAATGGTAGGAAGAATGAAAAGAGGATTATTTGAATATCGGAGCACATCGATGGAGTCTATTACTGAAAATATTGATAGCTGCTTTTCTGGAATGCTGGATTGTAAAAATTATTCATTATTTTTTAGTTCGCTTATTATGGATTGTGGATTTGTCACTCTTGGAAGTCTTTGTTGCAAGGATTTGTTGACAAGGATTTAAAAAAATTTTTTTTTAAAAGATTTTCTTCCATTTATATTAACTATGTTCTCTTTTTATTTTATCTATGCATTATCTATGTGCATGTTTATTCGCTGAAGGTCATCATTTATTTTAAATATATTAAAAATTTCTATATTTTTTTAGTATATTTCGATAGTGTTAAATGTTGAAAGATTATTGTAAGAATAAAGGTTGGTTTGGGTATGGAAAAGAGAAAATAGTGAAGTTGGATAGCAGGATAGGAGGGCACATAGGCTTTTTGATTGATTGTCGGTTGAAGAGATGAAGGAATAAAGGGAAAAGAAGAAATATGAAGGAAAGAATTTTTATTTTATCTGTGATTCTTTTTTCCACCGATTTGTTAATTTTATCAAGTATTCACGGTTCGTATATTTTTTAAATCTTATTTAAATTTTTCAGTTTTTCATTGCAGGTATTTGATTTCATTTCATGGATTATATTTAAATGCTTAAGAATGGTTGGTGTTCATCATCACAGAGGTGAAAGCGAGTCAAATATCCCATTACGACGACCTTCACCTGATTGTTTTGCAGCGACAAACGATTTAAATCAAATTAATATGATGCCGAATGGTGTTAGCATCACCTTCAGCAATATCCAAAATAATGATTTATTTATTAATCAAAAAAAAGTTCGTTATAATTGTCTATAATTTCTCATAATAATAATGATTATTTTTTCTCATTTCTCATAATAATAATGATTAATGATAATAATAATAATTATTTTTATTATATTAATGAAATAGAATTCAAATGAAATTGGCAACAAAATGTCAAATTTTATGCGTTTTAAATTATGGTAATCATTGTTGCAAATGTAAATTCCAAAAATTTTTTGCATAATATTTGTTTTTCAGCTGGTCCGAAAAGAAATTTTAAAGACTATGGTCGCATTTTTTTGTATGTTATTATCAGCATTCTTAAATTTTTTTATTTTGACGGTGATCCATGACATAGTGCCGAGAGAACCATTGCCTGATATAATTTTTATGGTGATACCACAACAGAAATGGGCTTGGGTTGTTGGTGATGTTTTTTCTACTATAAAGTTAGTCTGTATCTTTTATCGGTCATTTTTTTCTAATTTTGTAGCTGTAATTTATTAATTCAGTCAGCATAATAGCTGCGAATTTCCAGTGCCATTATTGGATTTATCTGTGTTTTTTTGCATAAAAAGCGTTTAATAATATTACGGCGAGTATTATTGCTTGGAGCAATAATGTATGGTCTCAGAGCTATAATAATGTCAGTAACATTTTTGCCTCCATCATTTCATGATCGTGATGAAATTTGTCAGCCCCAGGTCAATCGTACAGTAATCAGCGCTATGGATTTTGCTACAAGGTTTTTAATTTGGAATATTTATAAAATATTGGTTCTTTTGTGGGAAAGGCTGCCTAGTATAAGTGATTTTGTTGTACTTATTCAGGTTTCTGACGTATGTTGTTACTTTGGGTCTTACATCTGGTCAAGAAAAGATTTTATGCGGTGATCTCATGTTTAGTGGTCATACTATCGTCCTCACTATTATGTATTTTACGCAACTCTATTATACGCCTAAGCGACTAGCTTTTTTAAGGTTATTTTTGTTTCTATTGTTTTTTTAAAGATTTAATTCATTGCTACCTATCAATCAGCTAAGGCATTATATTATATTTATTCCAAAATTTCCATATTTATCAATTTTTTTATTTATTTAGAATCCTTTTTAAATAAATATCTTTTTTTTCCAGATTGTTTTTAATTTGAATTTTTCAGATATATAGCAGCACCTATTACATTCTTAGGTATAGCAGCATTAGTGGTATCAGGTGGTCATTACACAATGGATGTTTTGATTGCATATTGGTTAACAAGCCATATTTTCTGGAGTTACCATCAGTTGTTTGATTCACCTAAGTTGGTTTTCTTCTATTCGATATTTTTTTATCTAATCAATTGTTGATTAGAAAGTTTTAACTGTTAAGTATTAGCAGTATTAACTGTTAAAAAGTGTTCATTGAAAAATCGACGAAATTAATAAAAATTCTGCTTGAAAGAATGGCATAGAGAGAGATAAATTATTAGAATGTATATAATTTAGTTTGTATGACTGTTTATTTGAATTAAAAGAATTATCTGCAAAATGCCTGCTATTTCTAATAAAGTCTGGATTCTTATATTTTATTAGGATTTGAACAACTATTGAAGCAATAAAATTTTTATATCAAGACAAAAAATGCGGGCATTAATCAAATATATTTCAGAACCGATCGTTCTAAAACACCTATGTCTCGTTTATGGTGGTTTTGGTTTTGCTATTGGTTTGAAAGTGATGTCCCTGAGGGTCCAATAGTTAATGAATGGAATTGGCCATTTACTATGCCATCGTTTATGCTAAAAGCAATTAATTATATTAATATTCGATTACGATAACTTTTTATCTTCAGTAATCAATGTATTTTTCTAGAGCAAATCTTTTTTTTCAATTTAATCATGGCAACATTGTGGACAGATTTGACTCTCGCGAGTTGAATTTGTTTTTAATCCTCGTAATATAATATTTGCAATTATCAATTTTTCATTTTTGTGAATATATTTTTTATATTGTCGAAAATTTTTGATTTTTGAATTGTTTTGATATTACTCTTCATAAGAAAGATAATGAGTGATTATTATGAACATTGATAGTATTTTTATCGTTTTTAGCGCATTTGAGAGTGAACTACTTTGTAATTTTTTTTGTAATTCCTTTCAATAATATGGCAATATTAGGTTTAAAAAGCAATGCAGATCGGGTGAATATTTTTTATCTAATGTGCAATAATTTATAATGAAAATTTAGGTATTTTGTTTAGGTATTAGGTATAACAAAAGCCGCTTTGAAAATTTTCTTTTTATTTCATTGTTTTTCAATTAGGCATTCTCTGAAAATAGTGCATGATATAGCTATAAAGCAAGGTGGTATTCCGTTTATTTTTTATTTCGTTCACCATGCGAGAATTTTATACTTTCGATGATTGAAATTTGTTGCATAATTTTGTTCAGTGACTTCTGCAAAACTGGAGAGAATAATTTGAATTTTCCGCAATGTAATCATTATGAATTTCTTGAAAATCTTGAATCCAATTTAAGAATTGCAACAATTTTCAATTTGTCTTAATCGAATGTGTCAAGATGATATTGATGATAGCTTCTTGAATATTTGTTGTTTTTAATAATTCTGGGAAAGGTACCAAAATTGCCTATCCATATCTTGCCTCTTCTGTTGTTTTTGTATCCTGATTTGCTGACTTTTTTCCATGTTTCGGTGCTTTTTCTCCAAATTGAGGTGCTTTAATTATTTTTTGCTATCATATTCTTGCCAGTGGTATTTCTATATTTCATCTTGCCAGTGGCAATTCTATATTTCCACTTCTCTCTTTCTTGCGCTCTCTCTAATGACAAAGAATCTCCTTTTTTTTTTATTAATTTTACATGTAAAAAATTTTCTTATGATCTTACGAAATGTTTAAATAAACATTTATTATAGATGTTTAGTATCTCTCTGGAATTATGAAGAAAAACGGATATCCATTTGTTATAAGTCGCACACATTTATAATTTATTCCTTTAATTCTTATTAATTTTTAGGCAATAACTTATAGCCGCAAAACTTGTACTCTTGGTTTAGTCAGGAGTGTCCTTTATTCGGTTTTGCATACTTTGAGCTCAGAATTTGATTCAAAATAGCTCAAAATTTAGCAATTTTATATGAACTGTTTAATTAATTAAATAATTATTGGTATTATTAATAGTGAAAAAAATCTGGCGAATGGATTTTGGTCTAACGAAGTTGGTTGAATATTATATTTACAATGGGCTTAATTTGAGAAAATTTTTAGAATCAAAAATCAGCAATGGGAAATTCGGAGATTTCATTATCGATGAAAAATCTTTCTGATTACTTTAAAGTATTAGATAATTTATTAAGTGAAGAAGACTGGAAATCTGCTGAACAAGCGGCGCAGCTGATTTCGGTGAAACATGAACATGCGCATTATTCGTTTCTGCAGGTTTTGCTTTTTTTTGATTTTTTATTTTTTGTTTTTTTAAAATATTGTCCATCAATTTTTCTTAATTCGCCATTTTTCTCATTAAATTTTTTTCTGTTGACTTTTAACTCATTCGCATTTATTAGCTGTTCAACTTCATTTTCCATTTTCTTCATTTCCATTTTCCATTTTCTTTATTTCTTTTTGTCAAGGTAATTTTGTAAGGTAAAGTATTATATTAGAACAAATTTTTCAGATTGAAAAAGCGGAAAATGAGCGTCGCCATTATATTAATGGAATTTTCGATGATATAATTTGTTTTCATCTGGTCGTTTTATATCATTTAAATCGTGAAAAATATGAAAGAGCATTCGAAAATCATGTGCAAATTATTCAATTATTTAATAAAGAAATATTACAAAAGGAAAAAGAGCAAAATTGGTTTATGCCGATTTTTTATCGTTTATGTTCTGATTTACGACTTATCGCACGCGCAGTCAGTTTACTTTTCATTTCAATAGGATTTAAAAAATAAATTAGGAGGGTATTTTTATCGATTTACTTGCAAAAATTTCTAGATATTTGGAGGAGAGATTCTTTCTTCTTTTCTAATCATTACTGGTTAGGCTGGTTCCAACGGCTAAAGAGGTAAGACGGCGTTTCCAGGCAGCGCGGTCTGGTGCCATCGTCGACAGTAAAAGAAGCCATTCCTTTTTCCATCGTCTAAGTCCATATATTGCTGGTCCAACTCTTTTCTTACCGTATTAGACCAAATCTTGATTGGTACACCTCGCTTTTGACGCCATCCATCACACGGTTTAGCAGATAACGAAATATGCGACAACTCTTGTGGTGGACGACGGAAAACGTGCCCTAACCAGCGAAGGCAACGCTCTGTAATAACATTATTGATGCAAATGGTATTTGAACGAAGATGGATATGATATTTTATCCGCTCGATGGTCTCGTAAAATCTACCTTAGACAAGAGTGGTCAAAAGCAGATAATTTCTTAATATCCTCCACTCTCATTGGCCATGTAGTAAGATGGAACGAATCACGGCTATATAGATGCGTTTTAATGGCAATTTCACGTCGGCTTCATAAAGCTTCGTCAACCGGAAGGACACATTTCTAGCTGCCGTGATCCGGGTTGTAAAATCGTTTTACGTGGACATTTGGTATTAGAGTGGACTCAAAGTATTTAAAATCTCGTATTTCCTCAACCGGCAATGAATTTATAAAAAGAAGCATTTTATCAGTTTCTAAATGCACAATAAGATGAAAAGACTTTCATTTTATTTAAGTTGATCCTGAGTCTGATTCTCGCTGCAGTCGCTGACACGTTATTTAGCATTATTTGCATTTCGTTATAACTGTCAGCAAAAAGGACTACATCATCAGTGTATTCAAGATCTGTGATACGGTGCTCTTTATCTGTGATATGGTTGGACATCTCTTGAGTGCCGATAAGCTATGACTATTATCCAGTCTATTGCATAATTGAATATGGTAGGGGAAAAACACAACCTTGACGGATACCAACTCTTATTTCGAAGGAATCTGTCAGTTCCCCATATACACAAATCTGCGCCGACGTGCACTCATAAAATGCCTTTATAAGTCGAATGATCTCTGGAACACCATCGCATTCACCCTCCAAAGCGCCGCTCTATCAATTGAATCAAAGGCAGCGGCAAAGTCGATGAAACCGTGAAGTGGGTTGCAAATATCTGAAGCGATGTTCCAATATCCTTCTTATCGTGAATATCTAGTCAGCACAACACCCCGATTTAAATCCA